CTGCTAATAATAACCATATCTCAGGTATAATTAGTAATTAAATCAGGCCTACATAGTCCGCTGGTAACGATGTGATGAAGAGCTTCCAAAAAATGTCCATTACACAGATAAAACCTGGATGTACTGGTCCTTGTAACAATATAGCCAGCAGCCAGTAAGGCATGGCAGGGATTAATGGAGTACTAGAATGGACACCTATATTAATAGACTGTTAATCTAGTGTTGACAGCTGATCTATATTACTGTTATCAGGTCAGAAACAATTGTACTGGCTGTACAAGTCTGATAAGTTGCTATTAGATCTATAGAATTAAACTATATCTCTGTACAATAAATACACAGTACAAAACTTGTGTACAAGTTCTGATTTATAAATTTATCTGAGAAAATACAATGTTCCACAGTAATTCACTTTCCGATATGTAGCGGTAAATCTAGTTAAATGAAATAAATTCTGAAACAAAAAAAATATTCCCCAGACCTGAATTAATTACATGATTAAATTTTCCTTGATGCATTCTGTACTAAAAGATTTAGTGCTAGCTATACCCAGCTAACCACCAAAACCTAATTATCTCCCTTGTATAGAGCATCAACAGCTTGCAGGGCTCTCGATCTGCCAGATTTGGGGCCGATTCCTAATGCAAAATAGTATCTTTTTTTCCCAATTCAGACCCCAAGTTTCCCTATTCTAAGGAAAATGCCACTATTTTTCCCAATCTAATGGCCCCGGGCCCCAGGCCCAAAATGGGGAGTGAGAGCCCTGGTTTGATTTGTTATTTTCCCAGGATCATATAGCCAAATGTTAACACCATCCCCAAGCATAAGATTTCTGACTGAAATCAGACCATTGGTAAGATGTTTGGCAGCCTTTAGCTAGGACTTGATTATTTCAGAAGATCAATATCTTTGACATAACTGACAATTAAAAGTATATTTTTTTTATTCTGAGATGCCGTGAGGCCATGTGTTGATTAATTAAATATAACATTGAATCAAGTGTCTATGAACCCTCCTGCCACTTCATGTTCAGTCTGGTGTTTGTCTACTTGGGAGGCAGATCTACAACGACCAATGAAAAGAGACTGTGATGTCACTGTCAGATAATAACTGACCCCTGTAACTCCATAGAGATAATTATTATACCAACAAAATATAGACAAACCTACAGGTTAACAACAGCCTGGATGGTCCTGGAAACAATGGAGAGGGTCTGGAGTTTATCTCTGACCTCAATAAAATACAGATAGTAATGGGCTTCATGTAATTTGTCTGCCTTTAATGAGTTTTGTATCAAAACAATCCATGACAAGGATTTCCAACCATCATGTAAAACTGGCTTCCTTTATCAACATTACTTCTTTCTGAACTCAATCTGGCCGTGTTTTCATAATTAAAGTTTGAGTATGATTTTTTCATCAGAACTCTATCTGGTAAAACAGATTTGTATAAATGCAATTCATTTCATTATTGTCCAGAGTTTCTCATTAGAAGTTACACATATACGAGCCATTCATTATTAGCTTATACTGCATACTTTAACAAGATTTCTTTCCTGTGTAAATTATTACCAAAAATTCTTCTTTTCTTTCATGATTTCAAGATTTCATCGAACGTAAATGCTTTTAAAGTTTTACAAGAAATACAAGTAAAATTTGTTCACGAGTTCATGCAACATTTTTAAGTAAGATGTATCAACATTTTAAAAAGACTCAGATAATTAACAAAATGGTGACCTTAGAATATGAACTCGGTGAAGTTTGATATCTGAGTAAAGCTTGATTAAAATCCCATAAAGAGAAACCCAGACTATAAAAGGGAATTATCTGATATTATAATTAATTCCAGATATCTCTCATCGTAAGATGCTTTCACTTCAGAGGGTTTTATTGTGATGTATGGTATGCATCTTTTTCTTCTATTTTTTTTGCCAGCATTGTCCTGATTACATAAAAGAAAATCTACTGCTTTTTTCAATGACCGTGCTGTTTAAAACAAAGTTAATGAATTCTTTTTAATTGAGCCTTCCCCTGATATGGAAACATAACCTTTCATTTATAGAATTTTCCCCTACCCTGAGGGTGTGACAGAGAAATCTCCAACCCGGGGGTTGATTTTTTACAATACAGTATTTCATATATTATATATCAATGAAATGGAGCAACATATGAGATAAATACCACATTCATATATAAACAGTCGTTTTTCTTGCAGTAACTTTAAAGCGTACACTTCATGACATGACGTTATGTAAAGTTTGGATTTGCTTCAGGATGCCGATAGCTAGCAGACGATGTTTGTTTACAATCCATTGTCATAAGGCTATCTCTATATCTCTTTTATAAGCTATCTATCAAGCTGCTCTTTCCCGGCTAAAACGGGAGACACGGCTGTGAATGGTGGGAGAAAACTTCATCACAACAAGGACAGGTGGGCGAGTTAAAACATCACTGAATAAGTTAATGATTTTCTATGAATAGTAAATGAACTTTGGTGACTTTGAGCTTTCAGCACTGAAACACATAACTCAATAATTCAAGGTATTGTCATTAATACTTGTTGACCTTTGCATAAAAATTTATCAAAATCCCATAAGATATGCTAGAGTGATGAAATTGGTTTTGAGACAGGATGAGGAGAGATTCAACACAGTCGTATGTAGTCAGTAAGTGACTAAGGAAGGCTTATGGATGTGACAGATGTAGGATGGGTACAATGTTGCACTTTATGTCACTAATGCTTCCTTCATACTTCTCCATAAATAAGCAGGGTCAAATATGTTATTTAAATCAAACAATAGCATTCAGTTCTAAAATATTTAAATCAATTTGAGAATTCTATTTATATACACTGGCAATGACTAACTCCATTAAATCTCTTTTCTCAAAAAAATTAAGCAGTATGTGTACTTTTTGTTTTGTTTTTTATCTATTTCTATCTAACACCTGGTGGTATTTGAAAATGGACTTGACAACACTAGCTTTCGGCTGTTTCTTGTCAAGAGGTTATTTTTACACGATCATAAACGTCTATTTTTCCCTTTGTATTACAGCTCTCAGAGACATTAAAAGTGTGGTTTCAGTACAAAATATTCAGTTTAATGTTGACCCTGCCTTCCACTTATTTACAAAGCAGTAAAATTTATCAGATTGGGAATGACAATGAAACATTAACACAATTACCATATTTATATATACTTTGCATATGAATCTAAAAAATGGAGTTGTTCTATTTCAATGTTATACTGATAACCAGCTCTTTTTTGCTTTAAATTTACACCTTAACATGTTACTTGCATCACAAATATAAACAATTCTATCACATCTAATTGATTTAATGAAATGTCAATTTTGAACATGTTTCAGTTGCCTGCAGTGAAAGAACAATGTCCCCAGAAAATACTGTACTTAATCACCAGTAAAACATTTCAAAGATCAGGATAGCAATATACATTGCCATTTGCAATTGGTTGCCATTTGAACTTGAAGAGGTCAACTGAATAATGGAAATGCCAAATTTTAAATGACTTATTCAAAGATTTGTGAGTGGGGTTAGGTTTCCAAACATGACTGATTGTGAATGTGTAGGCTTGGTCCTCTAACTTGTACTTTAACAACCCTATTAGGCTACATTCCTCTGCCTGTCCAACTACAGCCATTGTCACCTGTGGCCTGTCACTGAACAAATTAACAGGGCAAAACACCTGGACTCTCATTCTACTGTTGATGGCCACAAGTCCGTGAGGACAGGAACAAGAGCATAAGGTGCAAGGGATCTATCAAATGCCTAGCTAGGTTGATCATGATCAATAACTATAAGGCATTATGATGTACCTTACAAGTCATCACTTTCCAAACCAGGAATCTTCGCATCCAACCTTACCTTTCTAGTCAAATTCTCACTGGTTCAACTTTCTAACAGTTAATGTAAATGTTTTCATTTTCTATATTTTTCAAACCTCTTGAAAATAGGAGCTGCGCTATTTCAATCCAAGAAAAAAACTAATCTTTGTATAATTACATCACAGTTCTACATTAAATAGTATATATAGTTTTAAAAACATGATCATAATATGTTTATCATCTGGCTGGTATGTACGGACAATTTGAAATTCATAAACACAGAACTTTGTTATCAATATAATATGATCTTGGTATGAAACTTTCTCGAAACAACATTTCTCTGACATGTGGTCTTAAAAAATGTCTAATATTTCTTTGACGTCAATATCAATCTGATAGGATATATTTGGATATGGGGAAGGTGGAGTGGATGTATTGTGTAAAATGTTATCCTTTATTCTATACATGAGTTTGTGTACCACTATGCCTGACTATGTGTACCACTATGCCTGAGTTTGTATACCACTATGCCTGACTATGTGTACCACTATGCCTGAGTTTGTATACCACTATGCCTGAGTTTGTGTACCACTATGCCTGAGTTTGTGTACCACTATGCCTGACCATGTGTACCACTATGCCTGAGTTTGTGTACCACTATGCCTGACCATGTGTACCACTATGCCTGACTATGTGTACCACTATGCCTGAGTTTGTGTACCACTATGCCTGAGTTTGTGTACCACTATGCCTGACTATGTGTACCACTATGTCTGACTTTTTGTACCACTATGCCTGAGTTTGTGTACCACTATGTCTGAGTTTGTCTAACACTAAGCCTGAGTTTGTGTACCACTATGCCTGAGTTTGTGTACCTCTCAGCCCGAGTTTGTGTAACACTAAGCCTGAGTTTGTGTACCTCTATGCCTGAGTTTGTGTACCACTATGCCTGAGTTCGTGTACCACTATGCCTGACTATGTGTACCACTATGCCTGAGTTCGTGTACCACTATGCCTGACTATGTGTACCACTATGCCTGACTTTGTGTACCACTATGCCTGAGTTTGTGTATCACCATGTCGGAGTTTGTGTAACTAAACCTGAGTTTGTGTACCACTTAACCTGAGTATCGTGACCTGCTTGATGTTATTACTTACCTGTTCTCTATCATCCACCACATCATTGAGTATGTCATCTGGGTCAAGGATTCCCCCATCAGTGCTGGTCTTTAGGTTGTGTACAGTCACCCAATGCTCATTTGACTGAAATGATAAAAAAGGTCAGAATATTCAAACTACGTGGTGGTCACTTTGCTGAAAAACAACATCATGTCATGGTGATTATCCCTGCCAAGTTGGAACTTGCATAAGTAAAATCAAAGATATTGCTTGAAAACTGAGAGAGAAAATCTCTAGAAAAGACTAAAACATTTTAAAAGCAACAAGGGGCCGTAATTCAGCTAAACATCATCGATTGCTATTTCAGAAAAATACAACTTCATGTCATTGTGATCATCATGATTAAGCATACACATGTATGAAAGAAATCAGCTGAAAACTGAAGGCAGATATCTCCCAACAAGATCAATATGATGAGATCCTAAAGGAATCCTGCAAATGGTGCCCACCATCATTTGATCAAAACTGCACAACTAAGGATCAGGGGTACCTACATCTAAAATTTGAGAAAGATCCATCCAGCACTTCTCATGAAGTACTGTTTTCTAAGTTAAAATACAAGAGGAGGCCTGTCAGCCATTTCATTTTTATAATTATGATCGAAGGACCAAGAGGAAGCTACATATGAAATTTGAGAATAATCCAAGAGTTCTACAGAAAGAACAATAACAATCTTACTTTGTCAAAATAAAAAAATAGTCACCTGTCAGCAATCTTGTTTTCTGATCAGCCCCAAAATCTAATATGCATATCTATCGAATGAAGCTAAACCTACCTGTGGAATTTGATAACAATCCTACACATACTTATTCTGATATAGGGATAACAAACTTTATATCTGTCAAAAACCAAGATGGCCATCTTGTTTTCTCAATCACTTCCAAATTTCAGCACAACTACAGACTAATTTAAGGTAAACCTACATATAAAATTTGAGAATGATTCAACCTGTGCTTCTCAAGAAAGATATTAAATATTGTTTATAAGACTGTTTAAGGATGGACAGACAATGGATAAAGGATGATTTGATAATTAAAATCATCTGATGATAGTTGGCTAAAAAAGTAAACTGAATGATGGGAAGACAGTACCATACCATAACAGGTCTAGTCAGAATTCTTGATGGGCATATAATAAGGTAAAATATTCAGATTACAAAAATAACAGGGATTTAAATACTGCAGGTGAATGACATTAAATGCCAAGAATTTCAATTAATATCAAGTTTAATCAAAATTCTTAGCACTATCATTGTCTCACATTAATATTGCATTATAGATGAAAACTATCATGCAGTATGCACACAATGATAATTACATTTACCAAACTAGAAAGTGTTTAAGAATGCCCCCAGCTTCCATGCTAAAATCATTTTTGATGACTTTGAAATTTTTGACAACTGTTTCTGCAGTGAATTCACCAGAACACTGATGTCTGGTAGTGTACACGAGACATATCATCTATAGGAAGAGTCAAGGAAATGTTAAAACTGATCACAAGAACAGAAGAATTGTCAAATGTAACTCTTTGATCCTGACCAATAATCACCATCGTGAAATTGTGAGGTGTAGAATAGAATGGGTAAATATCATCAAACCTGTTGACAGGTTTTCAAAATATAATATTGATTCCAAACAGGTCATAATAGGATGGATGGACAGGGGTATAGATATATATAATCATGTAAACATCCCCCCACCACACCCCACCACACCCCACACCCTGCAACTGATCCACCCCCTCTAAAATGACAAGAGCATGAACAGAAGAGAATAATCATTCAGGTTATTTTTAAATTTATCTAGATCAGGAAATTTAAATTCAGGAAAGGATTGTTAATACAAGCTTGGTTTCCCTTATCACAAATGTTTATGTATGTGTAATATTGCTTAATTATACAGAATAATATAATGTTAAACCAAAGTGGTTATGTATTTCAAAGATGACTTCTTTGCTTTAAAACACTTAAGGAGCTGCACATACCAGCTACTGAAGTCTCCATGCATTCTAATTATCACAAATAATCACTGAACTTTTGTAGGTTATCTTAATATCTATCTAGCATGATCCACGTCGGGTTATTATACACCCCACTATCCAACGGTGTTTAAACAATGCTACACAACCCCCGGACTAATTGGACATAATGTAGGCTGACCCCATGACTTACTTCTGGAGGAAAAACAACAAACATATCACATAAGGCTTCCTTAAGGCCATTCATAACATTGTTTTGTATCATGTGAAATTTTTTTTTATATGTTTAATGTACCTCTAAAAATATATCACTTTTGCAGATCTCATCATCTCACTACATGCTTTTAACTGTTTACAGATACCTGCAGACATGTGTCCTATTGCAGCTGTGTTTTGTTTTTATATTAAGTGCTGATTGGCGTATCATTAATAGATATATACATTAACAGAAGAGCCTATATCCAGGTAAATATCAGGTTCTCTGATTATAAGGGGTAAATCAATTCACAAGTGCACTTATCTCAAGTTAGTGTAATGAGGCCTACGTTTTCATGTTCACATATATAAAGACCATTGAAATGGAGAAAAAGAAAAATTCTTTGCTATTAAACTCATTATTAAGGTAGCTAGTATAACTTGGGTATATTTGTGACTAGGTCCCAGATTACTGCTAATTATATCTAATTATTTAACTAAATATAACATAGAGTGATCTACCTGTAATTAGGATCATAATTGAATATTCTTTTAGGAGAAAAATATCAACAGATCATAACCTGGTGTTTGAATTAACAAACTGTCAAACCAAATTCAAAAGTTTCAATTATAATATATAGTTGAATTAAGGAGGTCAGTAAAAAATCACTGTTTTCTGTACAATGACCTGAAATTTGTGTTTACAGATTATATCGTAGTTATAGAAGCTAAATTTCACAAACTGGCATACACAATGTAAAAAACAAGTTTAATACCAAGAAGTGAATGGAATTAAAATCCAAACTCCAATTCAGTAAAACTAGGGCAAAATATAAACAATAGAAAGATTACACTAAGTAGATTCTTGAAAAAGTACAATGAGAATAAGACCAAATGATCGAGAAGAGTTCTGGTACGTGTTGTCTACTTCATGTATCCCAATGTAAACCTTGGTCGAGCCAAGTAAGTAATGTCATCTTCTCACAGGAGGCTACACAACAAAGGAACCAGCAGACAAACTAAACAAGCATCAACCATGTCCAGCTTCACAAAAAGAAATCAAACATTTCTCATTGAGATCATCATGATGACCATAAAACCTTCCCTTAATCTTCCTAACCTGAATCTCTCACAGCCCTGTATAATGAGTTTGTCTGTCATTTGACTTCTTGCATGAAATTAGTGATATTGGGAACAAGTTCATGAACTGAATATCAAAATCAACTGTGAGATGTAAAAACTTTGTGCTGCGGATGCAGTTTTGTTGCTATACTGAAATGAAAAAATCCACATGAAGGAAATTGAAATCACCACATCTATCATTCAGGTTTGTTGAAAGCTGTCCATGTTGATTTCATTGTTGGAATAGAATGTGATAAGTAGTTGATATAGAAGAGTCTGTAAGTTTACATGGATATAAATTTAATCATTAACTCATTTTACAAAAAAAAATTCTATGTCATTGTTTCTAGTTTCAGGTCATTGATGGATTTTTTAAATTCACTGGAGTAAAAAGCCGAATGGGCGCCGATGATGTGCTAACATTGTTCAACTGCCACTTATAAGTTAACGGAATACAATACATGTATAGTAATTAATCCATTTATAATTAGTTAATGGAATACAATACATGTTTAGTAATTAATCCATTTATAATTAGTTAATGGAATACAATACATGTATAGTAATTAATCCATTTATAATTAGTTAATGAAATACAACACATGTATAGTAATTAATCCATTTATAATTAGTTAATGGAATACAATACATGTATAGTAATTGTTCTCAATGGAAAACTTGCGATTGATATTCACTATCCTACTGTTATATTTTCTTAAAAACAAATTCCTTTCACTATACAGCTATAAATTTTGCAGACTTGACAAAGGGCATCATCCTTTTTTTTGTTACTGACTGATAAAACTTGGACTTCAAATAGAGACACTCTACTGATATCCAAGTTTAGATCCAAATAAGAGACCATAAAAACAGATAAATTTACATAAGGGGATTCAATCTAGCATCAAAATTAGCTCTTGTCTATGTCATGTAGCTCAGAATGACATAATATGTATGGTTAAGTCCAGGGATGCAAACATTAATTGTCCTGTCTATGTTTAGACACGGTCTTCAGTGTACTATATAAACATGTCTGGTTTACAGCTGGAATGGGTAGACCATCAGATTGTCACATGTTGGTCACTGTGCAACAGGTGGCCATGGTCTCCTACAATATACACATCCTAGTATACATGTTTATTCAGTCATTAAATCAATATTTGTTATGATACCTGTCAGCTCTACATGTACTTGTATTAAAGTACAGAAGTTTTAAACCCAAGCAGGTGCTCTATTAACCATTAATAAGCCCATTCCAGTCTGGTACAAGTTCTTAGAAGTAGAGCCATTAATTTCCTCCATCACTACAAACCTACCCTGGTGCTACACCCTTGAAAATCTTCAATCTTTCATATAATACATCATCATAATTTATAATTAAGAAATCTTAATTTGACCGTACATTCTACTTCCTGTCTTCGTCACATAAATTTCACAGGTTAATGTATACATAGTTAGTGGCCATATACACCACTGAAATCCTGATCAAGAAAACAAACAAAAAATCCTAAGAAAAAAAGATTTGTGTATATGCAAAATTTTTTAAATAAAAAGCCTAAGTTTAAAAATTTTTTGAAAATATATCTAGTATTTACAATTACGTGATATTAAGTATAATTGAATGTTAAGAGATTTTACATAACAACTTCCTAATCTTCTACATAGTATTATATGTGCATTATATATCATTATTAGTAGTTTTCTACCCTGTTTCCACTTCTACATTTTAACTTATAGCTGGGAGTGTCCAGGTCTTATTTAACAAAGAATAATCAACACTAGACCAAATT